ATACATTACATTGCATTTAGCTGACGCTTTTATCCAAAGCGACTTACAATAAGTGCATTCGACCAGGAAGATACAAACTTGAAGAAAACAGAATCATATAAGTACATCAGGTTTCATAGAGCCAAAACATTTCAAGTACTACTCAACTGGCTTTAGATAAGCGTTGGGTGGGTGGCACAAGCCATCACCAATGTTATGCTTATTTAAATGGGCAAAATAAAAGTATCTTTAGTGGAGTTGAGGTATCAAAAATTAAAGTGCAAGATTGTGAACCACATTGGGTGACTTGTGAGAAGGGAAAGCTCCATATTGTAGCAAAGTATACCCCGTTCCAATCCATCTTACTTTCCCTTTCCGTCTTCATTCAAATCGGACCTGACTGCAGCACACGCTCACAAAGTGAGTTCAATCAGCCTTCATTAAAAGGATGCAGTGTCATCTGAATCATTCAATTGTAAGAATCACACCGGGCATTTACATGTTAATGATAAGGTGGAAGTGAGCATGTAGGGAGAGCCACAGAGTGCCTCACCATTCAGTGAGCTAATGCAGATAAGTAACGGATGAAAGACATGGGAAATCCGAAGGGGAGAAAAGACATACACATAGTGTACTTGAATGCGCCTGATCATGTTTGGGTATGACCGTCGAACACACCGGTTATTCTCACATTGTTTTCACCTTTGCTATGCAAGCACTTCATTTTTTCACCGTGGGACATGTTAACTCCCTCCCCTCTCTTTTTACTAGAGTCAAATCCTTCAGTCAAGCTGGTTTGGAGGGTCAACATTCCTGCCAGCGATAAGAGGCTATTGTTTCCTTCAGGCAGAGCAAGTTTCACTAGGCCAGTTTCATAACACAGGAAGTTAGGCAATATGTCCACTGAGGCGACTAATTCCTTGTATTCCACCTGCTAGCATTCACACACACATTATTAAGTAGAGTAAAGCATAAGAGCCAAATTAATCAGGATGCTCTGTTGCCTCCATTACCCACTGGAGTACACTTGTGTTTTCATTACCAGTGTTACTGATTATTAGAAGCCACGGTTTATTAATCAAACCCCCATCAAGGTATTGTGTTAACCTGCAGACAGTTCATCATTATACAGTTGCACTCACACACCAGTTGTCAGCCATGCATTATGGATACCTGGATCTACCTGAGTTGGCCCCCCGTGTCTTAAATTATTCAGCCCACCAGACGTCCCGACAAGCTGTGAGTACAAGAGTGTGTCATTTATGCACCAAGACACATTGTAGCATCCATTCACCTCAGGTACCTCGTATCTAACATTGTGCAAAACAACTCCAAGGACAGGAAACCACTTTCTTGCAAAGATAGAACACATTCAAGCAGGGCCTCCTGTGCTCATTCGTTAGCATAGCATGCTAGCAGTGCACAGCAGGGATTGGACACAGAAGTAACACCTGGACAAGGTAATGCAAAACCGTTTTTCTAGGCCTTAAACGCTGACATTGTATCACAAGGGCAAATCAGTTCCATGGTTTGTTTAGGGTTTCACTTTGTTGTATTGGATTATATTTTATCGGACAAAATATGATGTAATCTTATGTCTAACACCAAATCACTTGATTAAAGTTGGACGAGAAAAAAAATTCCACCCCTCTAATTTCAAAAATAAATATGTAGGTACCGCAGCAGCCATGTAGCTTAGCATAGGTAGAATAGCATAAAGACGATGGTACAACACTCAGTCTATTGGCAATTCTAAATCTCATAAACTGATTAACTAATGTTATTTCTCTTTTCTTAAATCTTACACAAAATTGCTAAAACTTGTTTTAATTGTGTGCAGGATACACCTTAGCTAGTATACAGTGAAACCGGTAAGAAAAAAAACATTAGTTTTACACTTTGGTTTTTGTCCTTACAATATATTGTTATATAAAAACAATATATAAAGTGTTGATTGGTGATCTTTAGAGGTGTTGGTAAGCGATTTTTGTCACTTTTGGACAGAACAAATCTAGCTGTTTTCCCCATTTCCAGTCTTTAAGCTAAGCTAAACTTAGCTAAGCTGACTGGCTTTAGCAACATACTCACACACAGTACAGACATAAGAATGGTATCAATATTCTCCTCCAAATTATACCCTAGAGTTGATTCATCATTCGTGTGACAGTGTCAACAGAAACTCAATGTTTTGGCTGCTTAATGCATTACATTGTACAGGTGTTACTTTTTTTGGGTGCACCCACTGTAAATGACAAAGCAGCAAGCTCAAAGCTGGGAAAGTCCCTCCACCAAACAGATAAAAGACTGAAAAGGCTCAACCAGCAAAGGAGCCAAAAAACATTTCAAAATGTTACCTTTTTTGTCTGTATCTGTGATAAACTATACCGGCTATTGGCCTATAGGGAGAAAAAAAACATAACAGTGTATAATATGTTCATTATTTGATAACTGTATTTCGGGAGCTGTTATTGAGGGTAAGAATATTATTCTGAAGCTCCAAGAATACTGTAAAAAAAAAAAGAACTTACAAGACTTTATGGATGAGTATTCTGACTAATGGTAAAGTTCAGTCGTGTCATGGTGACTCCACATTCTCATAATGTACTTGTAACAACTGCATTTGACTAAAATGTGATTCTATACATTCTAATCTATATTAAGCTCTAGACACCAAATAAACCGTTCATCAGTTCAACTTTGAACAAGGACTATTAGTCGACTTTAAGAAGCAGGGTCAAATTATACTGTATGTCTTGAATGCTGTGGGACAATGTGTAGCACAAATTGTAGCACTTAAGGGCTAATTATAGGGGATGATTTGGTATCCGTGACTCCAGCCTACACTCTCTGCCTACATACAAATCTACTGGGAGATAATTGGGGTAAGAGAAATCACTTCTTCTTTTCTTTTTTAAATAAAGGCTTTGATTCAAACTTTGAAATTCCAGCTTCAATCAAATGAACAGAAAGATAACCAATGAACATTTTTATTAATAGATGTTTTACCAATTAATAAGCCATGTGACCATTTAATATGACTCAGTTATACCTTTCACCGTCTGTGGTTGTGTGTATGCAACACACTCCTATAGACTGACATGTGAACCCAATATGAACAAGGACCCTCCTTTCTCACACTCCCACCTCCACTCACTCAGCCCTCCATGTTTCACATTTGGGAGAAGTCAGAGCAAGGTCAACTTTGGGAGAGATGCTTTACTCTGTCGCTGTCAGTCAATACTTCTTTCACTCCTTTTCCCCTCCTCTCATCTCTGCTGCGCTCCCACAGTTCGCCTCCGTGGCTAACATCACTGCTAGCAACCGACTCCCCATGAATTAAACATGGTAAACATATTCTACGACTAACAGGCAGGCTGTTGTGAGGAGGAGACTTCAAGGAGGCATCATGCAACCACTCTATCTCATCACAGCTGCCTATCACATGTTTTGGGTTGAGTTGGAGAGTTGAACAAGTGGTGTTAAGTGAGGGTTAGAAGATCAACAAGTAATGGTGTGGGCTGATATGCCATAGCATTTTATACTTGTTCTTTACCTGTGAGAGAAGCTTAGTGTTATCGTCCTCCAGGATCCGCACCTTAGACTCCAGCTGCCTGATGTAGTTGGTGGAGGAATCTAAAGCACAGAAGGAGAAGAAAAAAAAGAGGGGAGGATAAGCGATTAGCATTTTAAAGACCTCAAAAGAAAAACTGGCCGACACGACCACTGGAGCAAAAGGACCACGAGCTGCTGTGCACTTTGAGAGACCCAATAAAACATGAGGGTTTAAAGTATTACATTGAAATATGTGCAATATCTTGTCTTGTTATTCAACAGTGATCTTTTTATTTGAAACTTCAGTAACTGAAATAATGATTTTGCAACCGAAAAAAACAACACGCATGTCTTAAGTTTGTTGTGCAAACTGTTGGTTATGAATTAGAATACTTGACAACGTGTATAGTCTAAGTATCATAAGAGGTGAATAGGGGGGACTGAAAATAATTTCAGTATTAGAGTAGACCATTTTAACTTGACAACAAAACAAATAACCATACAAATTGTATTTAGTCTGGTACACTGATGGTATTCAGTGCCTTGAGATAAAATACTAACATTAGCATGCAACATGTTTCTAGCATTCTGACGTTTAGTAGCGCAGCTTTAGCTAATGATGAAAGTCAATCGTTTTCTGCAAGTCATAAGCTAACATGTTATGGCAAATAAAGGTAACACTTATCAGAAAAATAATCCTGGTGGGAAGCCAACTACTTTCATTATCACTCAATTGGTCATTTCCTATGATTCATTATTTTGGCCTTAAATGTCAGAAATGCCGATAAATGTTTTCCCAGAGAAAATTCTTACATCGTTGTTGTTTCATGTTTTGAGCAACCAACGTCAAAAACACAATGTACCAAACACAGAAATGCTGCACAATAATAATTAAGCCCTACGTTTGAACGGTTTAGCTTTTAAAAAAGTGGTAACTTCAACTAGATTTAATCCGTCAATCATAATAGCAGCTTGTACAAGGCCCTCATGTGCTATAAAAACTGGTCGTAAATTGGTGTCAGGGATCAAGCACTGAGTGTTCCCACCCAGATTAGCAGTGCTTGACCTAACTTTTGACCCCTACTGGAGTGGGGCCATTTTCCAGCTTGGCACACATTCTCCTGTTCCACTCATTCATTGAGAAACACACATCAATGCCACATTCGAGATTTGTTCCAGAACTGTCTCTGCACTGTATAGACCTGAAAAACAATGCAACTGCGGCCCTAATTGCTCTGCAGAGATTCCCTCAGCTGTTATCTCTGCGTTAACATGAATCAACGGCGCTGAGTTCAAACCAGGGACAGGAAGTGTATGAAGTGCGGAGGTGCAGTTTGACTCAGTAGGTGGCACAGAGCCTGTTATCTAAAAAGGCATGTTTCATTTACAGTATAGGATCAAAGCCGAGGTAGAGCACCTAGGCAACTCGTCGGGACTGCGCACATTATTTAGTTTGCTAAGTGGAAGTACAGAGAGACAGGCAGCGGAGATAGAAAAAAGACAACAGGGAGGTTGATGATGAATATTCTGTGTTGAGTTAAGTCCCAGATAAGAAGCCATCATTTTAGGATACTGCACACACATGCATTAACTCACAGCTTGTTGCACTGGTGACCAACTCTGTCTTTGTTTGTTTGTTTATAACTCACCCTGATTAGTCTGTGTAATTCATGTAACCTGGCTTATCTGCACTTTGCAACCAGGGGGCGCTAATCTGCAGACACATAGTTAAATACAGACAGTGCAGTCTAGATTCTGAAGATTTACAGTCACAGATATTAGCTTTACCCTTGTTTCACACATAGGTGAACTTTGGGTATGTTGAACCACACTAAGTATGGGATGCACTAATGGAAAACCAGTATCTCTTTTAGAGTAGGTTATAGATATTAAGCAATTTGATGACTAAGGCAGGCTGTTACTAACGATGACTTCAAATATTAACAAATGTCATAAAACATTTAGAAAACATTGATGTGATGTCTTTAGATTTCTTGTTTTGTTAGTCGAGACCTTAAGATATTTATTAAACTCTAACAACAACAAAAAAGCATGACATCTCCAGGAGAGCCAGAAAAGGTAATTTTCTGCCATGTTGGCATTCAAAAATAACATGCTTGATTTAATAACATTTAATCATCTATTAAAATTGTTGGCAACTTGTTCAGTCGACTAACCTTTGCAGTTGTAATGGCACAACATATTTTCACATGAACAACATTGATCGGTTCCCTAAAACCTGGTTGTAAACTGGATTGAATGAGAGCAGTCCCAGCAAGCCTATCTAAGTCCAGCCCCTTTGATTCTATAGGCAGGGCAGACAGTGCTGTCAGATGGACAGCTAATGGAGCAGGCTGCAGCGGCCAGAGCTGGTAGTGTTAATCCTCTCTTCCTGGCTTGTGACCCCCCCTAATCTGGATTCATCTGCTGGCCTGACCTGCAGCCAGATCTCAAGCCGATTAGGATGAAGGTTCCTCGGCCTTCACTCACCACCAGCACACTCAAACAACAAAGGAAGAAACCTCAGAGAGAGAGAGGGGAGAGGAATAGAAAATACATTTTCATCTCTTTGTTTCTCCGTGGTGTGTATATTTAGATTATTCAGAGATTGAGATCTCGTCGTCAGTAATCCAATACATTTAAAAGTCGCCCGGGTCTGTCTGGCTTATATTTTATCTTTTTAGGATGAATTAAACAAAAAAAATCAAGATAAGGGATACAAAATAAATATTGACGTATAGCTGAGGCGAGAGAGAAATCCCACTGTGAGGAGAAGAGTCCTCACATACCGATACACCATCTCTCCCTTCTTCTATAAGCCTTTGATACATTATAGGGTGGTAACGTTAAATCTCAGAGCGCATCCCTTCAACATCACATGATTAAGAGGTCATGCCTAAAGATCTGCCGTGGGAACATCCGCGGGACACCACACACACACACACACACACACACACACACACACACACACACACACACACACACACACACACACACACACACACACACACACACACACACACATCCAGACGTCACCGTCTCTTTAACACCCGGCTCCAGACAGCTATCCTGGCGGGAGTGGGGTCAGGCAATTAAACTGTTCCCTCAGCTCCCCCCTTGCAACTCCTCCACCCGTTTTATCCCTTCCATCCCTACAGCTTCTCCACACTGCTCCTCTGTGCTACAGATCATACAGGGATCGCATAGCAAAATAATTACCCTGCAAAACTGCAAAACTCTGCAGCCACTGTTTTGTACACAACAAGCACCCGGGGAGAGGCCGCTATTATTTATGCATAACCTGAATGCGATCTTTAAGGCTGATAAAGTGAGTGCGAGGCGCGGGGAAGCAGGAAAGTGCAAGCAATAAACAATGCAGAGAGAGAAGGGGAAACGTGTCCTTACAGAGCACTACTAAGCATTTTTATTTTTTACCTCCCCACAAGTGTTGTTTACCAAATGAATTGAGCCAATGTAGCGTTATGCGTGTGTGTGCAGGACAAAAGGTGACGCAGACATTGGCGCGAGTGCGTCCCCCCGCTCAGCACGTCACTTTGCATCCCGTCAGTGGCGCTGTGACCCACTTCCAGCAGCCACTCCTTCATCAACTCTGCTCCACTCCCTATTTTCCCTCTCGTTCTGTTTTATTACATTTTTTGTGACCTTCCCTGCCCATTGTATTTATGAACTGCTCTATGGAAGTCTACAGATGTTTTGTTAACCTAGCTTTTATTTCTAAAGGGGGGCTGGTTCTTATTACTTTTACCGGATTAGCTAAGCTTACCAAAAACTTGGTGCAGTCCTCTAAAGGTCATGACCCCAACTGGCTCCTCTTTGTGTCCCACTGTGCCACAAACATCCCATCCCCATCTGTCCATTAGGCTACAACTCATGTTGACTCTGCATCATGCCACGGTTACTCAGCATTACACAATGTGCATGTTAGGCATACTGTGCTTGGAATAGAGCACAGTTCTTAATCCAAAATGCAAAAAGAGTACTGCTTTAACAAAAAAATTCTAAGAAGTCTTTGCAAACGTAGTTTCTTTAAAGATTTGCATCATTACCATTAAAGTATATTCTTGACCTCAGAAAAAAAAGTGGTAGTCGACCCAATTCTGTGAAGTCGACTAGGGCATGTTACTGTATATTCATCAGCAGTTGTCATGTATAGGGAATGTAATCTGTGATCTGCTTTGGTTGAAAGACCAGAAAAGCCAGTGGTTGGTCCCTGAGTTGGGATAGTTTTCCAAAATCTACATAATTTAAGCACCAAAGCAGTATGTTTTCAAGTATAAGCTCCTTAACTACATGCATGCTGTACAGTTCTAGATTTTGGGGGATTTCTTTCTTTTCCACAAATCCAGGCAGCAATTGATTTTTCTTGATTTCCAATCTAGTTTAACTGCAATGGGCTCTCGAAAGTTGCTTAAGCTGTATTATCAAAACAGTGAACATCAAGCATGCATTCATTTCTGTCACATTGTTGTTTCTTAGTAATGTGGTTTAACTTTGCAATGAAATAATCCATAACAAGGACTTCATGTTCTGATGGATTACACAACTCCACCAAGAGTCTGCCAATAGACTTAAAAGATAAATCTTGTATTTAATTTTTTTTAAATGTTCAATTTATATCTTACACATCTTATAATAACACCAAAACAAACGATGAACTGTGTAGCCAAAGCTTCATATTCCTTTGTGCTATAGACCTTTTTCAAAATCTATAAAAAATACATAAATGAGCTCCACTGCTCCACTGAGTAACATGCTTCTTCATGACATTGAACATGGGCACTGTAGTTTATGTTAAGTAGATCCTACATATACTGTGCTTCTGCTGTTAACTCACCCCAGTGTATCCAATCTTCAGCTAAAAATAATCCCCAACAAATGCACTTTTGCATTTTTGACATCGCACTTACCTCTGTTTGAGAAACTTTGGCTGAAAACTACACTGCCCCGCTGTTTAAGGATATGTTTGGTTTTTTCCCCCGATTTAGGTCTTCAGTAGGAACAAATGGGCTAAATACTTCAGGCTATAAATAATTTTGGAAAGTCCAGATCATAAAACATTT